ACATAGCACCTGAACAACGACCGAAGGTCGTTGTGAATAAACACAGATCCACCTCTTCTGAGCAACCACGAAGTGGTTGTGAATAGATACAGACCCAGAGCTCCTGAACAACGACCAAAGGTCGTTGTGAATAGATACATAACTACACCTCTTCTGAGCAACCACGAAGTGGTTGTGAATAGATACAGACCCAGAGCTCCTGAACAACGACCAAAGGTCGTTGTGAATAGATACATAACTACACCTCTTCTGAGCAACGACCTTTGGTCGTTGTGAATAGATACATAACTCTATAGCTGAACAACTTCATGGTTAAGTAGATACATAGCCACCTCTTCTGAACCACTTCATGGTTAAGTAGATACATAGCCACCTCTTCTGAACCACTTTGTGGTTGTGAATACACACCCTTACCTAGCTTTTACTGGTACAGACATCACTATCGACACTATCGAGCACGACACTATCGAGCACGACACTATCGAGCACGACACTATCGAGCGGAGCGAGATAGTGGAGAGAGAAGAGAGAGAAGAGACTAGACGAGTGAAACGACACTATCGAGCAGAGCGAGATAGTGGAGAGAGAGTAGAGAGAAGAGACTAGACGAGTGAAACGACACTATCGAGCACGACACTATCGAGCAGAGCGAGATAGTGGAGAGAGGAGAGAGTAGAGAGAATAACATAGAGAGACTATCGAGCAAACCGAGATAGTCTATACTCTATACTCTCAACACTATCGAGCAAACCGAGATAGTCTATACTCTATACTCTCAACACTATCGAGCAAACCGAGATAGTCTATACTCTATACTCTCAACACTATCGAGCAAAGCGAGATAGTCTATAGTCTATACTCTCAACACTATCGAGCAAAGCGAGATAGTCTATACTCTATACTCTCTAGTCTATACTCTCTAGTCTCTAGTCGCTAGTCTCTTCTCTACTCTCTACTCTCTACTCTCTTCTCTACTCTCTACTCTCTCGTCTCTTCTCTACTCTCTATCGACTAGACTCGTTCCACTCGTCTAGTCTCTCTACTCTCTCCATTAGACTCGTTTCACTCGTCTAGTCTTTGGTCTACTCTCTCACCACTATCTCGCTCTGCTCGATAGTGTTTCTCTACTCTCTCGACTAGACTCGTTTCACTCGTCTAGTCTCTACTCTCTACTCTCTCACCACTATCTCGCTCTGCTCGATAGTGGTGGTGTAGGGGTGGTGGTAGCGTTTTCTTTATTCCACACGTGACATGGTAGCGCTCCTTTTTCAGAATTTTGCAGCGTCAACACAAGGAACCCCCAAGACCCACCTACGACACTATCGAGCACAGAGACTAGACGAGTGAAACGAGTCTAGTCGCGAGAGTGTAGAGAGACTAGAAACTAGAGAATAGAGAGTCTAGTCGATAGTAAAGTAGTGAGAAGGTTAGAGAAGAGACTAGACTCGTTTCACTCGTCTAGTCGAGAGAGTGTAGAGAAGAGATTAGAGAGAGAGTAGTGAGTGTAGAGACTAGTCGATAGTAAAGTAGTGAGAAGGATAGAGAATAGACGAGAAACACTATCTCGCTCTGCTCGATAGTGTAGTGAGAAGAGACTAGACGAGTGAAACGAGTCTAGTCGAGAGAGAAGAGTAGTGATGATGGATAGTGTAGAGTAGATGGTCTATATCTCCTTCTTCTCTACTCTCAACATTACCGAGCACAGCGAGAAGACTACCTCGCTCTGCTCGGCAGTCTATANCGCTCTGCTCGGTAGTCTCTTTCTACTCTAGTCTCTTTCTATATCCCTTTTTCTTCTCTACTCTGTATGTCTCTTTCTACTCTAGTATCTCTCTACTCTAGACTATCTTGCCCTGCTCGATAGTCTCTCTGTCTAGTCTCTCTCTGTCTAGTCTCTCTCTACTCGACTATCTCGCTCCATTCTACTCTCTACTCGACTATCTCGCTGCACTCGTCTAGTCTCTCTCTTTCTTCTTTACTCTCGTTCTTCTAGACTATCGACACTATCGAGCGAAGCGAGATAGTGGAGCAGTAAGGAGTAGCTACTACTTGCTTGATATTACTTGATACAACACTATCTCGCTCTGCTCGATAGTATTACTGCTTGATACTACTAGCTTTTACAACACTATCGAGCACAGCGAGATAGTGTTGCGATAGTGTTGCGATAGTATTCATCACGTTTACTCCTCTCTCCTCTACTCTACCCTACTCTCTGCTCCTCTCACTACTCTTCTCTCTCACTACTCTTCTCTCTCACTACTCTTCTCTCTCACTACTCTTCTCTCTCACTACTCTTCTCTCTCACTACTCTTCTCTCTCACTACTCTTCTCTCTCACTACTCTTCTCTCTCGACTGGATGAGTGAAAGTAGTCTACTCTCTCACCACTACCGAGCACAGCGAGGTAGTGTTGTAACTACTCTCTCTCTGTTCCACCCTCTCTCTGTTCCACCCTCTCTCTACTCTCTCTCTACTCTCTCTCTACTCTCTCTCTACTCTCTCTCTACTCTCTCTCTACTCACTCTTTCGACTATCTCGCTCTGCTCGATAGTCTCTGTTCCTCTCTACTCACTCCCCCTCTGCTCACTCTTTCAACTAGAGAGCAAACCGAGATAGTCTCTACTCTACTCTGATCTCTACTCTCTACTCTACTCTGATCTCTACTCTACTCTCTCTTTGTTCCTTCGACTATCTCGCTCTGCTCGATAGTCTCTACTCTCTACTATACTCTCTCTTTGTTCCTACGACTATCTCGCTCTGCTCGATAGTCTCTACTCTCTACTATACTCTCTCTTTGTTCCTACGACTATCTCGCTCTGCTCGATAGTCTACTCTCTCTCCGCTCGTCTACTCTCTCTCTTCTCTCCACTATCTCGCTCCGCTCGATAGTGTCGAGTCTACTCTCTCTTCCCTCTCCACTATCTCGCTCCGCTCGATAGTGTCGCTGCTCGATAGTCTCTCTCTCTTTCTTCTTTTTACTTTATATCTCTGTCTTTTCTACTCTCTTTTTCTCCTCTACTCTCTTTTTCTCCTCTACTCTCTTTTTCTCCTCTATGTATACCTCTTTCTTCTCTTTAGACTCTTTCTTCTCTAGTCTGTATCTACTTTCTTTCTTCACTCTTTCTTCAGTAGTCTCCTCTCTACCCTCTTTCTTCTCCTTACTATATATCTACTCTCTAGTCTCATCTTCTATCTACTCTCTCTCTACTCTACTCTCTCTACTCTACTCTCTCTGCTCGATAGTCTCTCTCTTCTCTCTACTCTTTTGTTTCTAGTTTCTTCTCTCTACTCTCTGCTCGTCTAGTCCCCAACTGGAACTAACCAAGTTCCTCTTTGTTTTACTGTCAGCTCCTTTCTTGCATGTCTCTCCATCGAGGAACGCGATAGTAGAAAGACTACTTTCTACTAGAGCTCTTTTACAAGTACTTTCTCCTATTATCATCTACTAGAGCACCTCTACTATCGAGGAACGAGATAAGAGAAAAGAGCACTAGAACACCTCTACTATCGAGGAACGAGATAGTAGAAAAGAGCACTAGAACACCTCTACTATCGAGGAACGAAATAATAGAGAAGAGCACTAGAGCACTTTCCACTAGAGCACTTTCACTAGAGCACTTTCACTAGAGCACTTTCCTATCTCGTTCCTCGATAGTAGTTACTTGAGCACTTTTATAGAGTACTACTATTTCCTGGTTCCTCGATAGTACAGACAGCTAAGTAGAATCTACTCATCGTTGGCAAAGACTCATACAATAGCTTATAGGAGTAGCTATATTTCAAGACGAGTTGAAATGTGAATCAAATTTACAGAGGTTCATCACTTGCATAGAGTACAGAGCAGAAAGAGGTACTCTATAGTAGATAGAGTGTAGAGTAGATAGAGTGTAGAGTAGATAGAGTGTAGAGTAGATGGAGTAGATAGAGTAGATGGAGTAGATAGAGTAGATAGAGTAGATAGAGTAGATAGAGTAGATATATACTATGTCGCCCCGCTCGATTGTGTTACTCTACTTCGTCAACATATTTATATATCTTAAATAACTTACAAAAGCATGGGTAATATAATAACAGTAAGCAAAGCTTTTAGATTCGCTATTTTGGAAACTCCACTATTTTCAGATGCGGCAGCATCATTAATGGGAATATCATTAGCTGCTGCGGCAGAAGCTGCTGCAGCTGCTTCTTCTTCTTTATCGTTTTCTTGATCGTTGATTGTAGCTGGACCTTTTGCTCCTGCTCCTGCTCCTGCTTCTCCTGCTTCTCTCTCTGCTTCTCCTGCTCCCGTTTCTCTCTCTTCCTCTCCTGCTGCTGCTCCTCCTCCTGCTCTCTCTGCTTCTCCTGCTTCTTCCCCTGCTTCTCCTCCTGCTCCTCTCTCTTCCCCTCCTGCTCCTGTTTCTCCCCCTGCTTTTCCTTCTCCTCCTTTTTCTCCTGCTCCTTCTCCTCCTACTACTCCTCCTACTACTCCTCCCCCTGCTTCTCCTCCTTTTCCTCCCCCATCTGTAACAACAACATACGTGGCAAGCGTGATTGT